AAGCAGCTTGGTGTGAACAAATCAACTGTGGGAACTGTTAGAAAATGGAAGACATACAAGACCACTGATAATCTCCCTCGATCTGGGGCTCCACGCAAGATCTCACCCCATGGGGTCAAAATGATCACAAGAACGGTGAGCAAAAATCCCAGGACCACACGGGGGGACCTAGCGAATGACCTGCAGAGAGCTGGGACCAACGTAACAAAGGCTACCATCAGTAATACACTACGCCGCCAGGGACTCAGATCCTGCAGTGCCAGACGTGTCCCCCTGCTTAAGCCAGTACATGTCCGGGCCCATCTGAAGTTTGCTAGAGAGCATTTGGATGATCCAGAAGAGGATTGGGAGAATGTCATATGGTTAGATGAAACCAAAATAGAACTGTTTGGTAGAAACACAACTCGTCGTGTTTGGAGTAGAGAGAATGCTGAGTTGCATCCAAAGAACACCATACCTACTGTGAATCATGGGGGTGGCAACATCATGCTTTGGGGCTGTTTCTCCGCAAAGGGACCAGGACGACTGATCCATGTAGAGGACAGAATGAATGGGGCCATGTATCAGGAGATTTTGAGTGCAAACCTCCTTCCATCAGCAAGGGCATTGAAGATGAAACGTGGCTGGGTCTTCCAACATGACAATGATCCCAAACATACTACCCGTGCAACGAAGGAGTGGCTTCGTAAGAAGCATTTCAAGGTCCTAGAGTGGCCTAGCCAGTCTCCAGATCTCAACCCCATAGAAAGCCTTTGGAGGGAGTTGAAAGTCCGTGTTGCCCAGCGACAGCCCCGAAACATCACTGCTCTAGAGGAGATCTGCATGGAGGAATGGGCCAACATACCAGCAACAGTGTGTGCCAACCTTGTGAAGACTTACAGGAAACGTTTGACCTCTGTCATTGCCAACAAAGGATATATAACAAAGTATTGAGATGTATTTTTGATATTGACCAAATACTTATTTTCCACCATAATTTGCAAATAAATTCTTTCCAAATCGGCCAATGTGATTGTCTGTTTTTTTTTTCTCATTTTGTCTCTCATAGTTGAGGTCTACCTAGGATGCCAATTACAGGCCTCTCTCATCTTTTTAAGTGGGAGAACTTGCACAATTGGTGGCTGACTAAATACGTTTTTGCCCCACTGTACTTTCAATAAAAATCCCAGGATAATACACAGACTTTATTTAGGTGAAAAAGTATATATAATTCACATATATTAATACACAGAAAACAGGTATTAAATTGCTAGTGAGAAGATATAGGAATAAGAAGAGAAACCTAGGCAAAATATTATTTAAAAGAACCCAGTTCCAGTATAAAAATATCAGTTTGTTATATATCATTATTTCTTCCACTACTTTGAATGCCATATGAAATTCAGTTGAAATGCTGGTGCTGAATGCTGTTAGGAAGAGGAGAAGCAAGAATGGGTGACACAGGTACAGATATATAGGGTGTTTCATAAATAACAGTTATAAAATAATCATATTTCAGGCACTAGGAAAGTGTAATGAAGTGCTTAGAAAGGAACACATGCTTCAAGAGGCAGGTGTGTCACACAAAAAGAAGTTAAAAGTTTTTTCTTGCCACAATATTTTTTAAAAATTAAATTGTAGCTTATGAGAAAAAATAATGCAGATGTTTTCCAAAATTAAATGTGATATGTAGTGCTGAAAATACAATTAGAATATAACTAATCCCGAACCAAACAATTTCAGGATTACCAGGTGAAAATAAATAACAATAAACAAAAAAAAACATGAAAAAAGAAAACATCTCAGGACTGCAAATACAATACATTTTTGTGTTTGGATTTAGATGTTTTAACTGATATTGAAATTGAAAAAATTTATTGCAAAATTGTCTCTTGATTTTATATGTAACATTTCTGCACTTTATATTGTAAATAAACTATTGAAATCAACATTCTTACCTGCCTAAGGAGGATTCTTTTCTAGCACTTAGTGTGTGTATATACTGTACTGTGTGTGTGTGTATATATATACAGTGAAGGAATTAAATATTTGATCCCCTGCTGATTTTGAATGTTTGCCCACTCACAAAGAAATGATCAGTCTAAAAATGGAATAGTAGGTTTATTGTAACACTGAGAGACAGAATAGCAACAAATAATTCAAAAGAAATGCATGTCTAACAAATTATGCACTGATTTTCATGTTCATGAGGGAAATAAGTATTTGATCCCCTTCACAATACATGACTTAGTAATTGGTGGCAAATCCCTTGTTGGCAATCACAGAGGTCAGACTTTTCCTGTAGTTGGCCACCAGGTTTGCACACATCTCAGGAGGGATTTTGGCCCACTCCTCTTGGCAGATCCTCTCCAAGTCCTTAAGGTTTGGTAGATGACATTTGGCAACTCGAGCTTTCAGCTCCCTCCACAGATTTTCAATCAGATTAAGGTCTGGAGACTGGCTAGACCACTCCTGGACCATAATGTGCTTCTTCTTGAGCCACTCCTTTGTTGCCTTGGCCATGTGTTTTTACATCATTGTCATGCTGGAACACCCATCCATGACCCATTTTCAATGCACTGGCTGAGGGAAGAAGGTTCTTACCCAAGATTTGACGGTACATTGCCCAATCCATCGTCCCTTTGATGCGATGCAGTTGTCCTGTCCCCTTAGGAGAAAAACACCCCAAAGCAGAATGTTTCCACCGCCATGTTTGACAGTTGGGATGGTGTTCTTGGGGTCATAGGCAGAATTCTTCCTCCAAACACGGCGAGTTGAGTTGATGCCAAAGAGCCCGATTTTGGTCTCATCTGACCACAACACTTTCAGCCAGTCCTCCTCTGCATCATTCAGATGTTCAGTGGCAAGCTTCAGACGGGCTTGAACATGTGCTTTCTTGAGCAGAGGGACCTTGCGGGCACTGCAGGATTTCAATCCTTGTCGGCGTAGTGTGTTACCAATTATTTTTTGGTGACTGTGGTCCTAGCTGCCTGGAGATCATTGACAAGATCCTCATGTGTTCTGGGATGATTCCTCACTGTTCTCATGATCATTGACACTCCACGAGGTGAGATCTTGCATGGTGCACCAGACCTAGGGAGACTGATAGTTGTTTTGTGTTTCTTCCATTTGCGAATGATTGCACCAACTGTTGTCACCAAGCTGCTTGATGATAGTTTTGTAGCCCAGTCCAGCCTTGTGTAGGTCTACAATCTTGTCCCTGACATCCTTGGACAGAGTTTGGAATCTAATTGTTTGATTGCTCCTGTGGACAGATGTCTTTTATACAGGTAACAAAATGAGATTAGCAGCACTCCCTTCAAGAGACTGTTTCTAATCTCAGCTTGTTACCTGTATGAAAGACACCTGGTAGCCAGAAATCCTGATGAATGATAGGGGATCAAATACTATTAAAATTATACAAAATTAATCAAAAACAAGTCATTAAGTGAGATATCTTCATTATAAAGTGCCACTCAGTATTATTCCCTATCACTTAGTGCCCATATAATCAAACAAATATAAAAATAAGATACCATTTGAAAAAACAATTTTCACAGTGCTCCAAGTGTAATAACGTGACCACACTTTATAAACTACTCAAAAAATTGTAGAAATGTCCATAAAAAAATGATAATAATAAATTCATGCAATGTGCAAACAAAAGTGCAAAACGAATGTGTTCTTATTCCGCAACCGTGCCACTCTTCACCTCCTAAGGCTAGATTGCCTCCTCATCTCCTTAAACTGACCCCTAAGGGCCAAACAGCTTTCAGGATCACTCTGGATCCTTATCCCCTGGCGACAAGCACTTCTCCTGGGAATGCCCAGAGGAAGTCACGAGTGATAGTGACGTAACGCGTAGGCACGGTAGCACGTTAACTTCCAGGACGCGGTGACGCATTTACGGCACCAGCCGCCATCTTGGTATACCCAGGAAGTCCTTCTGATTACATGCAGCACACCCACATACTGGCTAAGGAAGACTATGGACATATGTGAGTGGCTATGTATATTTGAGTATTACCATTAAAGTGTTTTGGCCTTAATACTGCACTTAGAGGATTCTTATTTCTGCTCACTGGGTTGGTGAGCGATTGTTCTTCAGAGGCTTCCGATTGGGGGTAATGGATGTCCCCTAAAGTGATCTACAACGTCAGGAGAAGTGCTTGTCACCAGGGGATAAGGATCCAGAGTGATCCTGAAAGCTGTTTGGCCCTTAGGGGTCGGTTTAAGGAGGTGAGGAGGCAATCTAGCCTTAGGAGGTGAAGAGTGGCACGTTTGCGGAATAGGAACACATTCGTTTTGCACTTTTGTTTGCACATTGCATGAATTTATTATTAGCAGTTTTTTATGGACATTTCTACAATTTTTGGACTTTTTTTTGGACTTTTTTGAGTAGTTTATAAAGTGTGGTCACGTTATTACACTTGGAGCACTGTGAAAATTGTTTTTTCAAATAGTATTTTATTTTTTATATTTGTTTGATTATATGGGCACTAAGTGATAGGGAATAATACTGAGTGGCACTTTATAATGAAGATATCTCACTTAATGACTTGTTTTTGATTAATTTTGTGACACTATTGCATGTGAGCACATTTATTATATTATTTGAGTTAGTATTGTTTCTTGAGCGCTGCACTAGTTATAATTTTAATAATATTTACACTGTTTGGGTAGCAGGTTAAGTGTTGGCAGCTTCCAGTAGGTGTATTTCCCGTTTGCGCAGGAGGATCTCTGTCTGTATTTTAGGGGATCAAATACTTATTTCCCTCATGAACATGAATACCAGTGCATAATTTTTTAGACATGCATTTCTTCTGAATTTTAGGTCACTATTTTGTCTTTCAGTGTTACAATACACCTACCATTCGATTTTTTAGACTGATCATTTCTTTGTGAGTGGGCAAACATTCAAAATCAGCAAGGGATCAAATACTTATTGCCTTCACTATATATATATATATATATATATATATATATATATATATATATATATATATATATATATATATATATATACATACACACTATATTGCCAAAAGTATTGGGACACCCCTCCAAATCATTGGATTCAGGTGTTCCAATCACCTCCATGGCCACAGGTGTATAAAATCAAGCACCTAGGCATGGAGACTGCTTCTGCAAACATTTGTGAAAGAATGGGTCGCTCTCAGGAGCTCAGTGAATTCAAGCGTGGTACCGTTATAGGTTGCCACCTGTGCAATGTGGCTCCCACATCGAAGGGTATTAGACCAGCAACTGTGCGGTTCCCACATCAGTGAATATTCAGACCGGCAAGTGTATGCTCCCACATTAGCAGGTGAAAGACCAACATAGATGGCTTCGGAACACCGTGGATAACGTTCACTCCACTCATCGGATGTGACATCACAGAGCTTTTGCCGGAACCAGAAACTATGTAGACGCATTTCACCCCTCTTATAAGGCGTTCTCACAAAATTAAAAATATGGCAGTGTTTCTAACCCTTTCCCAGTTCATTCAGAAACAAGATAAAACATTTTGATGGGACATTAACTTATAGCAGAATTATGGGATATCACTAATTATTCTTAAAATGTTCCCACTCTCCTAACACCTGTACTAACTAATGTGTAGAAGAATTTTTCAGGCCACTTTGGTCCTGTCACTTAATCAGCTCCCCTCTATCAGTTAGTAACAACTTCATGGTAGAGGAGGGAGAGCTGACAACAGATGGCCCATAGTAAGCCTATGGGTCAGAGTGCTGTCTTCTCTCCCCTGTCGCTAGTGCTGGGTAACACAGGGGAGATCATGTGAAAGGACCAGAGTGGACTGAAAATAATTAAGTATATGCACCTTTCTTCTACAGGTTAGTTAGTATAGGTGTTAGAAGGGAGGTGGGAGCAGTTTTAACATTAGTTAGTGATATCCCAGAACTCCACTTTAAAAATTTTCAATGCAGTTGGGCTGGTGGTCCACTCTGTTGGCATTTAGGCCTCATTCACACCACATGTGCAGAAAAGCTGATGGAAACTGACGAGAAGATTTCACTTGCAGAGACATCAGTTTACATCAGTTTTCATTTGTGCTACAATTACTTTTTATACACGTTGCAGATCCCTGTGCAGAAAAAAATCTGCACGTGATACCAGTGTTTTGGTGTCAACGGGGCACATAGAGAACAATTGTTTTCTGTGTGCCCTTGTGAAAGCATGCAGAAAAAAATCACGTCTCTGCACACCATGTGAATAAGGCTTTACTGTTTGCATTATACCAGTCAAATGATGTTGGGTAATCATTGCCAATCTCTCCTTCTAAATATGCTAACTGCCTGGCTGTCATACTTATGTTTTGGCTTCAATATTACTTTTTGTCACTTTTTCTATCATAAACTGCATGCTTGTTTCTGGTCAGTTGCTCAGAAATACTTATGCCAGGTACAGCTAGACAACTAGAAATTTCATAATGAGGTCAGCAATGGCAGGCAGCCTTGTTCTGTCTCGGGTTCAGTGTAGCTTAAAGAATATGTAAACCCAACATTTCATATTTCTGAAATGTTCCTGCTGTACCATGTAATTATATATACAAATCATATGGTGCAAACCTCAAGTGCAAAAACAATACAGAAAATAAATTAAAACTAGCAATGGAGCAAACAAATTTAAGTTCATATAGTCCATATTTATTTATTTCAGGTATTTATATAGCGCCATCAATTTACACAGCACTTTACATATATATTGTACATTCACATCAGTCCCTAACCCGCAAGGGGTGTACAATCTAAGGTCCCTAACTCACATTCATATACAACGGCCAATTTAGACAGGATCCAATTAACCTATCAGCATATCTTTGGAGTGTGGGAGGAAACCGGAATACCCAGAGGAAACCCACACAGGCACAGGGAGAACATGCAAACTCCAGGCAGGAGGTGCCGTGGCTGGGATTCGAACCAACGACCCTAATACTGCCAGGTGGAAGTGCTAACCATTTAGCCACTGTGCTGCCCATATCATTTTGGAAGTCCATAATCAATAATCAGTAAAAAGCACACAGTAGGCAGCTCCACCAAGAGACTGGAATATATCCTTGTAAGAAGCAAAGAGGAAAACAAGGGGGCGCCACTAAGTGCAGTATTAAAATCAATTTTTAATAAGCCATAAGTATTGCACTCACATGATATTAGAAGTAAAGAGCATGTAATGACATAGATCCACAGAATGCTGGAGCTATGAACTGTTGGAATATGAAATGTTGAGTTTGCATATTCTTTTTAATACTGGTGCCCCCCCCTTATGTTTCCCTTCACTCTGTATCATGTAGTTGTAGTGGTGTTACAGAATTAGGTAAATGTATTGACTCACTCAGTAGTTTAGAGTGAGCATGTCTGAGTGGAGGTCAAATCCAGGTCAGTTCAGATTAGGCTGGATAACTCAACAGGTTAGACCTTTATCGCCTCCACCTGGTTCTAGAGGTCCATGGAAGCTTCCAGAAGCTAGTGGACAGAGGGGTGGAGACCTGGATTTGCATATTCATGGGAGTATGACCAATCCCAGGCAGGAGGTTCTGGTAGTGTGGCAGACTGCCCCTGGATATAAAGAGCCATCTCAGCAGGGGTCTAGAGTCAGGTGGAAGATGGAGGCTGGGGTCTGCCTCCAGGCAGGAAGCTGCAGGAAAGTAAAGGAAGCTAACAGAGGGAGCTCCATTACCTTACAGTCCACCAGGTAAGGACAACCTACAAGCGGGGACAGAAACAGGCTCAGTGAGAGGCCTGAATGCAGTTTACCCAAATGTACAGGATACAAGGACAGTGTGAGTACCTCTGCACCCCTGGGGCCATCAGGCGAGAGATCTGCTGGGCCCGATACTTAACCAGTTCTCCCTGGCACAGTGCTGCATACCTATCTTGGAACCTTGTTCCAGGGTACTTCTCAAAGGACAGCTAGATGGATGGGCATTTCCTAGGTAGAGTCTGAAGAGAGTTCACTTGCTAAGAGACAGCACTGTTGATGTATTAAGAGACTGTGCCACTCCAGCTGGATCTGTACATAATCAAGACGTTTGTCCTCAAAGTTATTACTGCAACTCAAGTTGGGCATAACATATACCCCCAAACCCTATCCAAGTTGTTTATCCCCTAAATAAAACAACAAAAACAAGTTCTTGGACTGGTTACTGACTCTGAGTGGATGTCTGAAAAGGCGTGTTGCATGGCTGTGCAGGGAAAAGGGGACCCTATTCTCAGCGGCTCCTTCAGGTGTGAGCACTACATATAAAAAAGTATCCTGTTCTCTTTGTATTATTCCCTTTGTGTGAAATCCTTGGTGTTCCTGCCAGTCCCTCTGCTTTCCTATTAAAAACTGTCTACACTAGAAATGAAAGCACAGCATGGTCAGTTCTCTCTGCTATGCTGGGAACTCAGTGTGCTCTTCTCACAAAATATAATGACAAATTAATAAATTCAAGTCCTCAAAAAAGTCCAATAAATATGACCATGTGTTAGATAAAAACCATATCTTCAAAAAGTGATGAGCCACCAACAGGAAAAAAGAAAGAATCCTCCACCATACTGGAAAATATGACCACAGATCAAGCGGTCAAAAACAGCAAATACGGAATAACATTGGGCATGTTGGATCCTTGCTCTTCTCCCCCAAAAAGGCAGTTCCACTGCTAGCATCTCGTTGATAAAGATCCAGTGTTACGCTTCAAAGATAATGGGATGTATACAAAGGGAACAAAAGCTCCTCATAGTGCAGTGTTTAAAATAATCCAAAGTTTAATAAAAGTATTGCACTTACAGACAGAAGATAAAAAATCAGCGTTTGAGATCATAAAAGTTTCCAACCAACAAAATGACCACAGTGCATGGCGCGATGATGTCATAAGCCATAGCTCCACCCTACACGTTTCATCACAAGCAGACTGCATTTAGTATGAGCTTGCACAAGTTCCCTCAGTGCTTTCCTTGGTCACAACTAACACACGTATGGAAGCAAAATAGTGTGAATTGTGGTTTATGAGAGTCTGATTTACATGAACTGCCCCAGTCTGCTGCAATATCTTATTAGAACAGATGGGTTTACTTATCTATGAGCCATTAACTCACAGATAGTGTACAATGTGACATTTATATAATGACAGCTCCAGAAAGACATGGTTAAACTGATGCTCATATATACAAAGTTGTGTGAATATTTGCCTATGCTGACAAATTAAAAAAATTGTTGGATAGACTGCCCTGTGCACAGAAATATCCATAGTCAACTCTCTTTCAGGAAAACGCCACCACCTGAAACAACTGCCAAGTACTGGTGGGTGCTCTGATTGGAATGAACTTTCTCACACTAACCTTTGCCTGGTTTCTATAAAGATATAGGATTAGCAGCCACTTTCTTATTTACATGAAGCCCTCATCAATGTAGGTACAAATGTGGGTGTCTGCATGTCATGCATACAGTATATATCACTTATAGTCTAAGCTGTAGGAGACAGTACTAATGTGATTATCTATCACTAATTCTTCCTCATTCCATGTAGGCATGTGATTTGTGAAATCAGCCAGGTATATCCCTTCCCAATAATATTTGCTACATTTTTATGCTATTAGATTCTATTATTTCTTGGTAGAGAAACACGACTTTGTTAATGCTGTGAAAACACTGTTTTTCAAATATTTTCATTGTTTTTTTTTCCTTAAAACTAAAAATGAACACTGACCCTTAGGTGACAACGTTACAGTAATAAATATCATAATTGCAATATTGTATAATGTAGAAGGTCCCAGCTCAGTATGTGCAAACATTTTTAGCCACTTCAGGACCACCCGCCCGCAATGTACTAAGGACGGGCGGCCTGTACAGGCACAGCGATGTACTGCTTTCTTCCGGGCATCCACTGTCATTGGCAGCAGGACAAGTTTGTCAGCGGGTCCCAGCCAGAGATTTTGCCTGGGAAGCTGCTGATTACCTGCAGGCAATGACAGATCACCCCTGAGCCTGTATTTGTAAATACAGACACTTGATCTTGCTGCTTCTTCTCTTCCTGGACCCTTTTTTGGTCCAGAAAGAGAAGTGAGACACATAGGGGTTTATTTACTAAATCTGGAGAGTGCAAAAT